CGGCCGTCCGCGGAGGGGCTCGCTGCCCACTGGGGCCGGCTGGCAGGTGAGGACCAGGACGAGGGCGGCCTGGCCGAGGGGGTCCGCGGGAGCCGGGGCAGCCCGACTTCCTCGGAGCCCGGCAGGCTCTGCCCCAGCCGGGGCGGGTGTGCGAGGCTCGTCATGGAGGGTGTGTTCGCTTCTGGGCTGACACCCGGCCACCGCAGCTGCAGGGCGCACCCCTGCCCGGGGGTCCCGGGTCTTGGGCTTTTTCTGCAGCTGCCCACAGAACAGAGTGTCCGTGGTGGCACTGTGGTTCTGGGCTACAGTGGCACTGTGTGTGTGTGTGTGTGTGTGTGTGTGTGTGTGTACTAGTCTCGGGACCACTTCACCCATCCCCTGCGCCCTTTAGGAGAGGTCTGAATGTCACCGTGTAATTTTGCGTGGTGCTCTGGGCCACTTTGCTCACATCCTTCCATGTGTCAGGGTGTCTGTTGCGCCAGAGAGGCTGTAACTGTGGGTGTCACTTGTTGCTGTGTGTGCGCTCTGGGTGACAGTCCCATGTGTTAGTGTTCATGTGGCTGTGACTCCCAGTGCATTGTTCCTGGCCAGGTTAGGTCCCCCTGAGTGGGGTGCTCTGCGAGACATTAGCGTGCCCACATCACTGTCGTGCTAGGCCTGTGCTGGGCTGCGGCTGTGTCGCTGCGGATGTTGCTGTTGTACAGGGTGTTGGGTTGACGGGCGTGTTTTGTCTACCTGGTCTACAGGTGTCTGTGGTTTCTTCTCTAACTGCCTATGGAATTGTCTCTTCCAAGCTCAGAAGTGTTGGTTATGGCCATAGGTGGCCGTGGGTCAGCATCTCCCGTGGACTCCTGTGGTGCATTTTACAGGGTGGGTTTCACCCCTGTGAACAGGCCTCAGCATGTGCACGTGGAGTGTTTGTGTCTCATGATCTGTAACAGAGCTCTGTGTGTGTGAGTGATGGGTGGTGTGTACTTAGTGTGAGGGGCAGTGTGAGGTCCAGACCTGTGTCCCTCATCCTTGGTGATTAAATACTCTCGCTGTTGCTGCATGCTTTTTCTTTTTCTCAAAACTCATTTAATGTCATTGGGTCAAGTCTGTCATGTCTGTTACACAGGGTGTGTGACTCTGATGGGGGAGGGTGAGCTTGTACGTGAGAGTGGGCTCTGTGGCTGAGTTTCTGTGAACATACCTGCCTGCATCTGCGAGCGCATGTTAGTGTATCTCTCGGCACGCAGGTGTGAGAGTAGTTTTTTGTAGCTTCATGTGCAGTTACTGGTGTGCAGATCTGCACAGGGGTGGGTTTGCATTTGTTTGTGTGGCTCCTGTGGTATATGGTCCTGTGTATGTGTGAGTGGGTGTGCTGTTGTGTAACTTAGGACACCGATGTGTATATTTGTGGTAGTGTATAGCTCTAAGAACGATGTGCACAGACCCCGTGCGTTTGTGGGTGTTTGCTGTCTTTGGTACAGCGAGACTGTTTTTAAATATTGGTGTGCAGGCCTGTGTGTGTTCGAGCAAGAGAGAAAGAGTCTGTGTTTCCTGGTGCACAACCCCATAGCACATGTGTGTGAGCTCCGGCGGTGCCCCCACTGTGCAGCAGGAGCCGGCTGAGTTGAGGCCTTGGTTGTGCTGGGGGAGGGGCACCATCCTAGAGACTCTGGGGGCTTCCCAGGCCCAGCCCCCAGCCCTGTCAGCCGGCAAGGATGCCGCCTTCCAGGAAGGCTCGTAGGGAGTTGGCGCTGGAGAGGCCGAAGCTGCCAAGCAGCTGGCAGATGCCCGGATTAACCCTGTGTGTGCCCTGGCCAGCCCCGGGAGAGGCTGGCTGGAGTGTGAGTGGTGGGGGGTGCGTGTGGACTCACACACAAGTGTTGGGCCAATGGGACATCCCAGCGTTCTCTCCCCCAACAGCCCCCCAGCCCGCACTGCTTGGGGCGGGGAGAGTGGGGCCCTCTTCCAGGAGAGGGGGACGGAACCACAGACCCTCCTGAGGATCCCAGTTGGGCTCATCTTGGGCTGGGACCTGGGGCTCTTCTGAGGGGCGCATGGGCCAATCCTGGCACTGCCAACCTCGCAATGGCATGGGGGAGATGTGTCTCCTTCCAAGGGTCACATCCCTCTATGTCTGAGGCCGCAGCCTCCTCCCTTGGGGAAGGGGACTGAGTGGGGTGGGCTGCCTGGGGAGGGCCCTGGGCCCCGGCTGACTTCACTCGGCACTTGGTCAAACTCTGCGGGTCGGCTGCGCAGAGCCGCCTCCTACGATGCCCCCTCCACCCCCGCTTGCTGCTCGGACAGGCCCACTGTGCTTGGTCAGAGCTGGGGGGACCAGGAGGGCGGGGTGGGTGGAGACTCCTTGGGGGCTTAGCAGGATCAGCTGGGCCACCCTGAGGACTGACCTGCTCTTGCCCATCTCTGTTGCAGAACACAGATCTGTTTGAGATGATTGAAAAGATGCAGGTGAGGTTGGCTCTGTAGCCTGTTCTGGGGAGCCACGGAGGTGGCTGAGCTGGGGGTGGGGGCCCTTGCTATGGGGAACCACAGAGGGGTCTGGGTGCCCTTGCTGTGTCTCTCTGAGGAGGGGCCAGGAGCCCTCGGCAGATGGTGCCAGGAGGAGATGGTGGCAGTGCGTTGTCCAGAGCCCTCTGTCTGGGGGTCAGAGTAGAGAGAGGGCCCAACTCCCTGTCTTACCCAAGGGCCCAGGCCCCACTTGCGTCTCCCCAGCTCCCATCTCTGTGTAGCTCCCTACCAGGGCTGGGGTCAGCTCCTCGGCCCACTCCCACATACACACACCATCCCCATCCCCCCCCCCAGGAGGCCCCACAGGCTCTGCAGGACCCCCACGAAGGATGGGAGGAGGGACAGATGCCAGGGCACAGGGCAGCCAGGGGCTGTGCTGAGGTAGGGGGAGGTGTTAATGAGCTGGGCAGCCTGGAGTGCAGCCCCCGCCCCTCTGCCTGCCCCTTGCCCACCCTCTACCCCCCAGCCCTGGTCTTCCAGGCCCCTGCCTGTTTTTGGCATGGGTGTGTGTTGGGAGGTCGGGGGGGTGACTTGGACAAACCTCGGGAGCTTTCCCTGACAGCAGTTCACCCTCCAGACCCTCTCTCCTGCCCCTTCCTGTTTCTCTGCCTCTTAGTCCGTGTCCACCTCTCCCCCTCCTTTCTCTCTTTCCCTCTTTCTCCCCCTCTCTCCCCCTCTCTCTCTGCCTCTCGCTCAACAACACATATCTGTGTAGATGCAATAGCCTCCCTCCCCGCACTCAAGCGCGGCCGCCACCCCTGCCCCCACTCCCAGCGGCAGGCATTCCCGCACCGAGCCCCCAGCCCCTCCCTGCTGCCGGCCTCCCTCAGCCCAGGTTACCCCCAGGACAGCCAGCCCTGCAGAGGCCCGAGTAACCAGGCCGGACGGCACCCTGCCCTAGGGGTCCCCCCATATCAGCCAGGCTTTCCCCTTCTGCACAGGAAGGGTGTGCGCCGTCACAGGCAGCAGGCATGGGAGGGGTGTGACGGGACGTGTTGCCTTCTCTTTGCAGGGAAGCAGGATGGATGAACAACGATGCTCCTTCCCACCACCCCTCAAAGTAGGTCTGAACCACGGCCCACCCCACCCTTCTGTGGGCTGTCTGCCTGTGCTGTCTGCTTCCTGAGCAGCAGACCTGGAGGGGGATGGGGAAGGGGAGGCAGACTCCCTCCCTGGGGTGGGGGTGGGGCCTGGGGAGGGCTGCCACAGCTGCCCATCCAAGCAGCCAGCCCAGGAGAGTGCATCCTATTGTGGGCCAGGTGCCAGCTGAGGGGGTGAGGAGGGTGTACCCAGTCCCCGCCCTCTAGGATTTCTGAGGGGTAGAGAACCCCTCCCTTACTCTCGGCCTGGGGCCTTCATTCTGGCTCCTCCTCACCCCACCTACACCACTGCAAACTCACCCTGCCTCTCCAGGCTTCCCCATCCCAAAGTCAAAGCCCATCCCTCACAAGACAGCCTGCTGGGAAATGTTTTCCTGGAGCCGGTTAAGATCAGCAGTTGCAGGAAGACTCAAAACTGGGACCCAGGAGGCTTATGCTCTTCTGCTCTGTGTAGCTTCTGCCTGGGAGGGCTGAGGGGGAGAGGGAAACAGAGGGAGGGGTGACCTGGTTGCCCCACAACATCCCGTGAGGAGACTGGTTAGGAGGCTGGGGACCCAAGGAGATGCGAGGAGGCTTTTGGTTAGACTCAGAATTTTCTTGGAGTGGGAGCTGCAGAGCCCCTTCACATAGTCATATGGTTCTCTGGTTGGTGATTTGGGACCCCAACAATCCAAGAAGACCCAGGCTGGGCCTGGGGGAGTGGGCCAGGGCTTCAGGGGTGAGGGTTAAAGGCGGGGTTCTTACGCATAAGCCTGATGCTTTGTCCGGGGCAGGAGTTCTCAAAGTGTGGTCCTCAGACCAGCAACGTAGCATCACCTGGGAGCTTGTTAGAATGTCAATTCTTGGGCCCCACCCAGACCCACGCATCAGAAACTCTGGGGGGCTGGGGGCATGGCCATCTGTGTTTAATGAGTCCTTCAGGCCATTCTGATGTACTGAGAACCACTGGTCCAGAGGTTTCTTGTGGGGAGGCCGTGAGCCTCCTCTTCTGCAGGCAGAAAGATACCCAGAAGAGGCTGCCAGCACTCTGCGAGCTAAGCCTGCCTCAGCCCCTGCCTTGTGGGTCACCCTTTCAAAGCAAACCCTGCCCTCCGTGAGATGGGGAGATGAGGGATGGCTGGCTGAACAACAGAGCATTCTGGGGAGGCTGGAAGTAAAGGATGAGGACCCCACCCCAGCTGGGCCTCTGCCCTGCTTGTGTTTTGCAGACGGAGGAGGACTACATTCCCTACCCGAGCGTCCACGAGGTAACCAGCTGGACTTCCCGGAGCCCATCCTCACCCCAAGCCTGGGAGGCACTCACGCAGGGAGTCTGGATGCCCGGGTCCTTCTCCCTGTCAGGAACCTGACCACAGGCCTTGCTGTGGGGGTCGGAGACTCAGTTTACAGGCCCAAGACTTCAGAGCGCATTTGAGCCCATAGGCCTCTGAGCCAAACATTTCAGCCTCTGCCAAGGTCATGCTCCCAGCTCTACCTGCCCCCTCCCCATCCTTTGAGAATGGGACTTGGGGCTCCATGTGCTCTGGTCTGTGCCTGCAGTGGGAGCGAGAGGGCTGGAGCAAGTCCCCTGGAGGGGGTGGATGCGAGCCTGAGACCCACATAGGCTCTGGGCTTTCCCTTGGTTCCCCTTAGCCATGGCAGAAGTGGCCCTAGGTCTGAGTTGGGGTGTGTCCTGGCGCCCCCGGTGGGGTGCAGTGTGGGTGGCTCTCAGCTGAGTCCCCCTTCAGGTCCTGGGGCGAGAAGGGCCCTTCCCCCTCATCCTGCTGCCCCAGTTTGGGGGCTACTGGATTGAAGGCACCAACCACGAGATCACCAGCATCCCCGAGACAGAGCCGCTGCAGTCGCCCACAGCCAAGGTGAAGCTTGAGTGCAACCCCACGGCCCGCATCTACCGGAAGCACTTTCTTGGCAAGGTGGGGAGCCTCCTGGTGTTGCGGGGCTTGGCTGGGGAGAGAGTGGGTCACAGCCCAGCCCAGGGGGAGGCCAGGCCTGGTTGGGAGCAGCACCCATGGGCTGGGGCTGGGTGACAGTCTCAGGGAGGGAGTGTGCATGATGGATTCCCTCATTCATTCAACAAACATTTACCACAGAAGGCAGTGTTATGGCATAGTGGTTAACGGCAGAGACTCTACTATGGTTTGAATCCTGGCTCTGCCCCCTACCACATGGGACATCGGGCAAGTCACCTACTCTCTCTGTGCCTCAGTTTCTTCATCCATAAAAACAGAGATGGTGATGATACACACCTCATGAGGTCACTGTGAGGCTTTAATGAGAAGGTGCTTGTAAGGTGTTTAGAATGGCGTCTAGCACAAAGTAAGCGCTCAATCAGGGTTAGCAAGTAATGAGCACCAGCTGCATGCCTGGCCCTGGTTTAGGCACCAGGTATACAGCAGCAAACAAAACAGACCCAGGCCCTGCCCTCGGGCAGCCTGAGGTTGGGGCTGGGAAGACACAGTAATATCATGGCTTGACCTGGATCAATGCAGCCCTTGCCCCACCACCAGCCCCAGAGCAGGGACACTGCCCTAGATCTTGTCAGAGTGTCGCCCGATGGTGTTCCAGGCAAGAGTGACTGCACAAGGCTGTGGGAGCTGGAGGGGGAGGTTACATGCTGGGACCTTGTCTGTGTCTGGTTCCATGCCAGGTGCCGTCTCTCTGTCAGTTTACTCTGAGGTGGCGGAGTATAGCGTGGGCTCTGGAGTCTCGTGGCCTGGGTGCACATGTTGGCTTGTCCATTTATTGATGGTATAACCTTGGGCGAGTTATTTAATCTTCCTGAGCCTGTTTCCTCATATGTAAAAATGGAGATAATAAAAGTACACATAAAGCATCAAGAACCGTGCCTGGCACATAGTACGTACTCCATAGATGTGAGCTGTTATTATTACATCTTCATTAGCTCTGTGACATCAAGATTGTCCTATTTTTACAGAAGAGGAAACTGAGGCTCAGAGAGGTGAAGTGACCTGGTCAAGATCACACAATTACTGAGCTAGAAATTGGACCTAGCTCTGGCTGACCTTCCATTAAGACACACATACTATGGGAATAGACAACAATATTGCACTGTCATTATGTAATGTGATAAACATTGCTACAACAGTAATCATATTACAGTATGTAAATGTATCAAAGTAACATGTATATACCTTAAATTTATACAGTATTATATGTAAAATATATTTTAAAAAAAGACACGCTATGGGAGGGTCATGCTCCTAGCTGTGTGGGTGCTGGGAGGAAGAGGTGACTTCTTGGGGAGTTGTGGAGCTGTGTGACCTCAGTCTGGGCCCAGGGCCTTGGCCTGACCCTGGGGGATATTGGTGCTAAGGTGAGGGGTACAAGGGGTGGAACCCATTGTGACCTTGACTAACCAGCAGGCCCCGGTTCAGGAGCCAAACCCAGACAAACCCAGAACAGGGCCTGGGATTCCCACCCCTGGCTGAGCCCTTTGGGAGGAGAGAGACCTGCATCTGGGCACCCACCATCCAGAGGCTGTCAGCTGGCTCTGGCAGCTGGTGGGATCTCGGGGACTGTGTGGGTCTAGCACATAGTTGGCAGGAAAGTTTGCTGAAGGAGTGACAAGTGACAGAATGAAGGTGCTGCCCTGAGCACAGAAGGATTTGCAGAGGTACAGGTCAGGGGTCAGAAGAGGCATGATGACTGGGGTCAGGTTAGCAGGACAGAGAGGAGGGGCCCTTTCCTGACTCCAGGTGGGATGACTGGGGAGGCACTGGGCCCTGTCCTGGCAGGGGAGGAGGTTATGGTGACCTTGGGCATTGACTCCCTGGGACCCTGAGCCCTCTGCTCTGGCTCCTCTGGGCAGGGGGTTTGGGGAACTCCCCACCCCGGGGACTTCGGTCCAGCCCTCTTTGCCAAGTGCCTAGCACTCCCTCTTTGCCAAGATGGTGCCAAGCATTTGGGGGTTTCCATCACTCTGTGACCAGGCAAGGCTGAGGGAGACTCCACCCCATGTTCACTCAGACTGCCCCTGAGCTGCGGATTTGTGGGGCACATCCCCTGGCCCCTGCCTCTCTCTCCTCCTGCCCTCTGAGCACAGGTGTTCATGTTTGAACAGGACGTATTTCCAGGATGACTCCTGGGGTGGGTGTGGCTGGGGAGCCAGCCCCACTCCCAGGGCCGGCCAGCAGTGGGAGCCTAGGGCTGGCTGGGGTGTGATCTCCCTGCACTCCTGGCCCTTTGCTTTGGGACTCCCCCACCTGGAGGTGCCAGCCCTGGGCTCTTCTCTGGGGGGTCCCACCTCTGCTGCAGCTGCCCCTTGTGCCCTTGGGGGTGTTTCTTCCCAACCCTGTGGCTTCTCCAGGTGAGGCAGGAGGGTGGGAACCCGCCCGGTCAGCCGCCTGGTATGTTCATGAGAAGTTTCACTTCCTGTTTCTCACGGGCCCTGGCTCCAGGGGCCACAGAGCCACAGGCTGAGCAGTCAGTCAGTCGGCATATTTTTATCGAGCACCTACTGTGTACCCAGCCCTGAGAAGGGCAGGGGCTGGGAGACAGGTATACTGGTACAGCTGTGGTCCTGACTTTGATGAGGACCCAGAGAGCCAAGGTTCCTATAGACATCCATTGAACACCCACTCTGTGCCAGGCACTGTATCTCTTTAGTCCCCGCCACCATCCCACAAGGTCACTGGCCTCACTTCCATTTTATAGACTTGGAAACTGAGGCACAGAGAGGTGAGGTGACCTTCTCACGCTACCCAGCTGGCAAGTGGCAGAGCTGGGGTTTGAATGCAGGTCTGCCTGATGCAGAGTCTGCTGTTAGCCATGACACCTGCTGCTTGATGAGGGACCCCCATATGGGAGTGAGTTGGCTCTCTGGTCTGGTTTCTGGAAGCCCCGACCTCAGCCTCTCCCACTCCCCCGGCCCCCACCTCCCACCACAGGAGCATTTCAATTACTACTCACTGGACACCGCCCTGGGCCACCTTGTCTTCTCACTCAAGTATGATGTCATCGGGGACCAGGAGCACCTGCGGCTGCTGCTCAGGTGAGGACGGGGTGAGGGGATCCTGCGACAGCAGCAAGGGCTGAAGTCTTATAATCTGAGAGCCCATCTCATTTTACCCACTCTTCCAATCAGGGCCCAGAGAGGGGCTGGGATTTGCCTGAGGTTGCACAGGAAGTTAGTGCCCAAGCCAGGCCAGGCCCCCATCATCACCTCTGGTCCTCCCTGGGGTCGGCCCCCTCTGGTCTTACTTTGCGTGGAGGGGCTCCCATCCCCCTTTCCCACTGCCTAGTCCCTCACTATGGGCTTTCTCCTCCCAGGACCAAATGTCGGACATACCATGATGTCATCCCCATCTCCTGCCTCACCGAGTTCCCCAACGTGGTCCAGATGGCAAAGGTGAGGCCTCTGCTCCTTCACGCTTAGCCCTCTTTGGGCAGCCCAGGTGGGCTCACAGCTGGGCGGCAGCTTTGCCTTAGCGTGCCCTCATCTTTAGCTGCAGGTGCTAGCCCTGCGTGCTGCAGCCCCAAGTAAGGGGTCCTGCCTCTCACCTGTTCCCATGGTGTCCACATGCTGCCATGTGCTCTGGGCTGCTGTCCCCTGCCTGTGTGCTTTTGGCACTCGTTAGATATAGGGGACCCCAGTTCTCTGCACCCCATTCTGAGCAACAGTGAGCCCCAGTCCTGCCTCCGTCTTGGCTGTTCCCTCCCTTTCTGCCACTGTCCTCCCCAGACCGTGGCCAGGGTCTGCCCTGGCCCCAGGCAGGGGCCCCAGCCCTCCTCCCGGCCCCCCTCAGGCCCTCCCTTATCTCCTCCTGCAGCTGGTGTGTGAAGATGTGAATGTGGATCGATTCTATCCTGTGCTCTACCCCAAGGTATGGCTGGATCTGGGCCCTGCTCACTCAGGGTGGGTGGGTACTGGGGGACTGAGCATTTATTGGGCACCTGCTGTGTGCAAGATATTTTTCCTGAGTTCTCTCATTTAATCCTCACAATAACCCTGCAAAGTCCACAGTTTGCAGAAGAGGAACCGGAGGCCCAAAAGGGTTCTGGGCCTTACCCAGGGATGCAGAGCAGATAAGAGAGGCCTGCATTTAAACCTAGTGTTATCCACCTTGGAGGCAAGCCTTACTTACCTCTGGAAACTCTCAGTGCCATTTGGGACCCTCCCAAGGGCAATCAATCTGTGCTCCTGAGCCAGGGAACTCCACTGGCTTTGGCTTCTGACCCCTGGGAACCTGGGGAGAGAATAACACGGGCACCTCCATAAATACTGCCCCACAGACAGCAGCTGCACTGCCAGCTCACGTGGTGGCTGCTGGGTACTCAGTTCAAGGCACTGTGACAATGTGGGAAAAAGGGTAGAGGCTTCTGTCTTCAACAAGCCAGGCAGGCTTCCTGGAAGAAGCGGGCCTTGAAAGACATGTAAACCCTGGTGGCTCTGACTGAATTCTAGAGCCGGGTGAGGTCCCTGAGGGGTGGTGTGGTCCAGGAAAGGTCCCCTGAAGGAAAGGACCTTGGAAATCAGGTCCCACCTCTCAGTTACAGAAGAGGAAGCTGAGACCCAAGGTGAGGAGGGGAACTTGCTCAAGGCTCCACAGCACGTGAGTGGGACTTGGTCTGTTCTAGAATGATGAGGGGGTTTACAGAGGAGCCAAGGAGCGAAGTTGGATGTTGTAGAGCGGAGTAGGGATGGGACTGATGGGCAAAACTTGGGAGCAGTGAGCTTAAGCTTTGGAATCCAACAGATCTGAGTTCAAGTCCCAACTCTGCCACTTGCAAGCTGTTGACCTTGGGCAAGTTACTTAAGCTCTCTGAACCTTGGTTTCTTCATCTGTAAAATGGGGACAGCAGGAGTGTCTCCCTCACGGGCTTGTTCTGAGGATTAAATGAGAGGATGCCTGTGGAGAGCCCGGCACAGTGCTTGGCAGGTGGTAAGAGCAATAAACGGTAACTTGAAAAAGCAGTCTATTTCACCCATCATCCTCTCCCCCCAGGCTTCCCGCCTCATCGTCACCTTTGACGAGCATGTTATCAGCAATAACTTCAAGTTTGGAGTCATTTATCAGAAGCTTGGGCAGGTGTGCTCACCGCCCCCTCCCTGCCCCGCCCCCAGCCCACCTAGCCGTGTACCTGGGACTTCAGACCTTTGCCAGGGAGAGCACCTGCCCAGGGACTCAGTTTCCCTGGAGCTCAGGGGCTGCCAGAGGTCCTCCTTCCAGCCTTCTCTGGGTTTGAGTGGGGGTAGGGGGGCAGAGGCTGCTCAGGAACTCCAGCTTGATGACCTCTGCCCTCTGTGTGTCCCCAGACCTCCGAGGAAGAACTCTTTAGCACCAACGAGGAAAGCCCCGCCTTCATGGAGTTCCTCGAATTTCTTGGCCAGAAAGTCAAACTGCAGGACTTTAAGGGGTGAGCATGAGGGTGGGACAGGCAGAGTATAATCTGACCCATGCCCTTGGGCAGGGAGGGAGCCCCCGTCCCGGCCCCATGGAGGCCTGGCCGGGGCTGGAGACTGAGCCGGGGCCTGGGGGGCCTGGGGCAGGTTCCGAGGAGGCCTGGACGTGACCCACGGGCAGACGGGGACCGAGTCTGTGTACTGCAACTTCCGCAACAAGGAGATCATGTTTCACGTGTCCACCAAGCTGCCCTACACAGAAGGGGACGCCCAGCAGGTAGCCTGGGCACCCACCACCTGCTTCCCACCTGTCCTCTCCTCCTGTCCCATCTACCTGTCTGTTCAGTGTCCACCACACCAGGTTCAGGCCCTGGGATGTAGAGATGGAAGTGATCCAGTTCCCCCGCTTGTGGGCTCTAGTTGGGGCAGAGTGACAAGCTGCTGCCATGTTGTAAAAGCCTCAGTTTCCACATCCGTGAAATGGGGATAATAATGGCACCGACCTCATAGGTGGGCATAACTGAGGGAACACACGCAGAGTGGCTAGAACAGTATGTGGTATGAGCAAGAACTCAGTACGTGTGAGTGAGTGTTTTTACAGGGAGTGCGGGGCATTGTGGGGTCACATGCCCCCACATGTAGGCTTGGCAGAGGTAGGAGTCAGGAAGAGCTTTCAAGATAAAGTGACTTGTAGGCTGCAAAGGAGCTGGGAGAAGGCAGGGGAGTGTTCCAGGTGGAGAGAATGGCTTCTACCCTCTGCAGAGGCCTGGAAGTGAGGAAGTGCAGGCATGTTCCTGCAGCCAAACTCAGAAATTTGTCACCTTGTCCTAAGCTTCCTGCAGGACTGTCTATCTTAACCCTTTGCCCCCAGGGGGATAAAGGGTAATGTGAGAAAAATGGAAATATTTATTCCTTATTTTTAGTGTCTTTTAATTTTCTTTTAATAAGATCCTCTGTTCATTTCAGCAACATGAATATATACTGAGTGGAACTGGTTTATTCGAGAGGGGCCGTGCTTGTGGTATTTAGACAGGAGAAGGGCTGAGAGGTAGGGCCTGGGGACCAGGAGCCCTGGGTTCAAGTGCCCTAACTCACTGTAGGGCCTTGCAAGTCACTTCTCTCTTGGCCTCGGTTTCCTCATCTGTCACTGGCTTCCAAGAAAACTGAAATAATTTTAACACAAGTTTGTCACCACATGTTTTTGGGGGGAAGCAAATCCTTAGACATGCCTGCTGCCTACCCCAAACCCTCCCCACCCCTGCGGGCACCGTCCCCTGCACCCTGGAGCCCTGCTCCAGCCGGGTCGTGAAGGCCTGTGGCCCTGTGCTCAGTTGCAGCGGAAGCGGCACATCGGCAATGACATCGTGGCCGTGGTCTTCCAGGATGAGAACACGCCCTTTGTGCCCGACATGATCGCGTCCAACTTCCTGCATGCCTATGTGGTGGTGCAGGCCGAGGGCGGGGGGCCCGACGGCCCCCTCTACAAGGTGGGTGATCATGGAGCCTCCAAGGGGCATCGGCCGTGGTCCAGACACAGCCCCGCCCTCGCTCTCTCTGAGTTCTCTCTGATCCTCAGTTTTCCCAACTATAGACAGGGCACTGTCTGGAGGGCTCTGAGCCCTGCTCTTGCTCTGATGAGGATTCCCATCCTGTCCTCTCTGCTCCCTGCTGTTTCCCCCCTGAAGGAGGCTGCCTCCCCTCCTCCACCCTTTAGACTCCTCCGCCTTCATCCTTGGTGACTCCTGAGATCCCCACCCCTTCCCACCACTCAAATTCAGGATCAAGGATGGAGGAGCTAAAATCCTGGGGTTCACTTGCCTAGTCAGCTGTCACCGAACCTCCCCCACCCAGTGGCAGGCCCTGTGCCCAGCATGGGGCAGGGGAGGGTGGTGAATTAGGGGTTTCTGGCTGGTGTGGGGACTCCACAGGGACTGCTTCCCTGTCTTCCAGGTCTCCGTCACTGCGAGAGACGACGTGCCCTTCTTTGGGCCCCCCCTCCCGGACCCTGCTGTGTTCAGGAAGGTGAGGGGCAGGCCCCAGCCCCGGTCATGGGCAGAGCAGGACTCTATGGGTGGGGGCCGAGGGGAGCACGCATTCTGTGGTGCGAGATCCTGAAGCCCCACTGTGTCCCGGGGCCACTGGGTTCCCCTAACCCAGCTTTTCTGTTCATCTTGATAAAAACTGTGCCCTTTATTTACAAGGTCACAGAACAAGCTATATCATTGTTTTACATTTTTCATAGCAGACTCTGTGGCCTTTCCTCATTCCTATTCTTTTTGACAATTACAGTCTTCTTCTAAAATGTTTGGGGAGGGGGCACATGCCTCTCTCACCTCTCAGAAGCACAGTTGCAGTCTTGGCTTCAGTCACCCCCACCCCTAGACTGAAGCAGTAGGAGACCCCAACCCCCAACCCCTTACGTCTGTGGGATCTGTTCTCCGGAGGGGTGGGCAGCCATGAAGGGCATAGGGAGCCCCCACAGGTGCCTGGGCTGGGGAGCTGAGCCAGGAGGTGCCCTTGTGGGAGTGAAGAGGGCAACCCCCAGGTCCCATCAGGGCGTGGCTCGGCAGCTCCAGCCCCTGACCACTGGGGGCTCAGCCCCTGGTCTCTGTTCACCTAACCCCCCTCTCTCCTCTCCTCCACTCTGGGGGCTCCCAGGGGCCTGAGTTCCAGGAATTTTTGCTGACAAAGCTGATCAATGCTGAATATGCTTGCTACAAGGCAGAGAAGTTTGCCAAACTGGAGGTGAGGATGGGCTGTGGGAGCTGAGCCCCTCCCCCCAGCCGAGAATTTCAGCTGTGCCCCTGGGGAGGGAAAAGCCACCTTCAGACCCTGGCCTTAGAGAGGGCTGTCTGGGGGAGGACGGATTTACGGATGGGTGGCCTCGGGTCAAGAGAGAGGAAGTGGGCATTTCTAGGGCTGTGTGAGGAATGCCCAGGAGGGGCTCGAAGGTGGGCAGGCCGGCACAGAGGACACCGTGGGCGAGGGGGAGAACTGCGGGGCGGGGACACGAAGCCAGATCTTGGAGGAGCCCTGGGGGCTGCTTGAGCTGCCGAGGGGCCTGAGGGAAGCCGGCGTGGGCTTCGGGGCCCAGGCCCACTCCCTACTCACTCAGAGAAGGTGGCTGGGATTCGCATTGTGGGACAAAGGGCTGATCCCTGGGGTCTCTCCTGCCGGCCCTCCCCACAGGAGCGGACACGGGCCGCCCTCCTGGAGACGCTCTATGAGGAACTGCACATCCACAGCCAGTCCATGCTGGGCCTGGGCGGCGACGAGGACAAGATGGAGAACGGCGGCGGTGGCGGCGGCTTCTTCGAGTCTTTCAAGGTGAAGGGCCCGGGTCTACCTGGGCGCGGAGGGAGAAGGACGTAAAGTGTGGGGGTGTGGCTAGAGGCGGGCTCGCGTTGGAGGTGGGGTGGGGGCGTGGGTCAGGGTGGAGTCGGGGATGGGGTTATGGACAAGGCGGAGTGTGGCTAGAGGCTGGCTGGAATTGGGGGTGGGATGGGCGCGTGGCTCAGGGTGGGGTCAGGGGTGGGGTCATGGACAAGGCTGGGAGTGTGGCTAGAGGCGGGCTCATTTTGGAGGTACAGTATGGTGGGGGCGTGGCTTAGGGCTGGAGTCGGGGGTGGGGTTAGTAGACTCAGGTGTGAGAGCAGGGCTAGGCGGGCACGTTCTGGGCTAGAGTCTAGGTGATGGAGAGCCTCAGGGTGGACTTGGGCTTTAGAGTGGGCTTAGTCTTGGAGATGTGGTCTCTGCCTGGGGTAGAGTGCGCGGTTGGGAGTGCAAGTTGGGGCTCTGGCTTGGGGAGGAGTTAATGGTTGGAGGCTGGGCCTAGGCTTGGGGGCAGAGGCTGCCTGGGAGTTCTGCTGAAGGTTGGAGCCCTCTGGGTGGCAACAAGGTGCCTATGGTGCCAAGGGTGGTGACTGCCAGGTCAGCAGGCAGAGAAGAGAGGAGGAGGCCTCTGTCCTGACCGAGGGAAAGAAACAGAGGTCTAGAAAAGGGGTGAACCAAGTGGCCATAGGAGAGGGACCTGGCCTGTGTGACCTCAGGCCTGTGTGACCAATCCCGGCTGTCTCTGGTTTAGTTTAGCATTAAGAACACAGACTCCCTGAGTTCAGATCCCAGCTCTGCCACTTACCAGCTTGGGCATTCTCTGAGCCTCAGTTTCTTTAACTGTTGGGTAGGGTAATGGCAACTAACGTCATACAATTGTTGAGAATTATTTGTAAAGCAGTTAGACTAGTGCAACATAAATTAAAAAGCAAAATGCGAAACCCTGCCCGTCTACCTCGGCAACTATTGTCCACGGTGAGGGGCAGAGGAGGAGACAGCGCCTCTTCCCCCCGGATAGGGCCTGGACTCCACAGGCTGCAGGTCCCCAGGCAGTGGCTTCTTTGCCATGGTCTGCTCCACCCGCAGGCGGAGGCCTGCCCACCCTCCAGGTGCCCAGCCAGGCTGGTTGGGCCTCACCCTCACCCCAGGGCAGGCCGCAAAGCTGGAGATGTGGGTTTGAATAAGGGGGTTAGCCCAGCCGCCCAGGCCTGCCCTGGACCGAGGTAGACAGACTGTCTTTGAGAAGGAGGCTTGAGGAGGGCCCTGCCTCTGCCCACTGGAGACAGGGTCTGGGTGGGGTGGACATGGGTCTGGGGTGTCTTCTTTGAGGGGGGGCCCAGTGGGCCACTCCTGGTGGGTGCTGGACGGTGGCCCTGGCTTAGTCACAGAATTTCACAGTGGCAGCAGAGCCCACAGTTAAGGGTCTGGGTTTGGCACCTGGGTTCCAGCCTCGCCTCTGATTCAGCTTTACCCCGTGTCGAATGGGCATGGTAGTGGTGCCTGCCTTATGCGGTGCACTGAGGGACAGAGCAGACTGGCTGAAGGAGCAAGGGAGGGAGGAAAGGAAGAAAAGAAAAGGGGACCGGCCCGGTGGCATAGTGGTTAAGTTTGGTGCGCTCTGCTTCAGTGGCCTGGGGTTCGTGGGTTCAGATCCTAGGTGTGGACCTACAGCACTCATCCAGCCATGCTGTGGCGGTGACCCACATACAAAATAGAGGAAGGCTGGCAGATGTTAGCTCAGGGCCAATCTTCTTCAAGCAAAAAAGAGGAGGATTGGCAACAGATGTGAGCTCAGGGCAGATCTTCCTCACCAAAAAAAAAAGAAAAGAAAGAAAGCTCCAAGAGACCTGGAGGGTCTAGAGGGCTCTCTGTGCACACTTTTGCTCACAACCCAGTGTGTTCTGCAGTCCTTACAACAACCACATGAGAGGCACAGAGGGCTGCAGTGGCTTGCCCAAGGTCACCCAGCAAGTCAGGGCAGGATCAAGCCTCAAACTACCCTTGGCACCATGTGGACATGACTCTTGTGTGGCCTCATGGGAAGAGACTTCCTGGGGTCACCCAGAGTGGCATTGGTGGGGAAGGACCGGATGCCTGGAGCCCTGGGTTTCCCGAGGGGATGGGGCCTTAGGAAACCTGTACCTCCTCCACCCCACCCGCCCTTTACAGCGGGTCATCCGGAGCCGCAGCCAGTCCATGGATGCCATGGGCCTGAGCAACAAGAAGCCCAACACGGTGTCCACCAGCCACAGCGGGAGCTTCGCACCCAACAACCCCGACCTGGCCAAGGCGGCCGGAATAGTGAGTGCCCTCCCCCAGGGACCCTCAGCTCTCCCCTGCCTCTGAGGCCTAGCCCCACCTTCCCCCATTGCCCTGCTGTCCACAGGCCCATCCTGGGCTCTAGACTCAGCCTAGCCACTGCTCTCCATGGGAGTCAAGTGCCCAGGCCATGACACTGGGGTGCCGAGAGCCTGCAGCTCCCTCCCCAGCTCCTCGGCCTTCCCCTCCTCCTGGCCCCTTATTCAAGTGTGACTTTCTGTGGCTCAGCTCTGGTGCAGTCTCTATATCACATTCCTTATTGAGCACCTACTGTCTGTCGTGTGCTGGGAATTGGGCTGCTGTGTGAGTACTGCTGTCAAGCCTTGAGTTTCTGGGAGCACCTACTGTGTGTCAGGCTTTGGGCACGCACTGTGTATCGGGACCTGGATTTCTATGTAAGCACCTGCTGTGTGCCTGGCTCTGAGATGCTGTGGGTACCTACTGTATGTCAGAACTTCGGCTGCTGTGTGAGCACCTACTGTGTGTCGGGCTGTGGGCACACACTGTGTATCAGGACCTGGATTTCTGTGCGAGCACCTACTGTGTATCAGGACCTGGGCTGCTGTGTGGACATGTACTCCGTGAGCATCTCCTGTGGGCCTGGCCCTGAGTTTCTGTGAGCACCTACTGTGTGTCAGGTCCTGGGCTACTGTGTGGACATCAACTCTGTAAGTGCCTACTGTGTGCCCACCTCCGAGCTGCTGTATGTCAGGAAATAGACTGCTGAATGAGCACGTAATGTGTGCTAAGCCCTGATGTCAGGGAATACCCACTGTGTGTCAGGAAGTGAGCTGTGTGTGCACCACCTACCGTGTGCTGGGTCCTAGGCTGCTGTGTGAGCACCTACTGTGTGCCAGGGCCTCTGTGGTTGTGGCTACTTACTATGTGTCAAGAACTGGGCTTCTGTGTGAGCATCTCCTGAGTGAGCACCTACTGTGTGATTACTTACTGTCTGCCAGTCTCTGGGATTCTGCTGCTAATACTCAGGGGGTCTGCTGGGCACACAGGATGGATAGGCCTTCAATTGTGGGCCTGTCTGCTTTCTGCTGCCTAGTGGCCACCCCTGGCACTGCACCCACCGCTCTGCTCTCCCTTCTCCATCAATCCATCTTTCTTCCTTCCTTCCTTCCATCCCTCTATCCATCCTCCATCCATCCATCCATCCATCCATCATTTATTGACTTGCTGCATGCCAAGCCCTGTGCTCAGTGCCGTGAGGCTGTGTCATGTGCTAGGAGGGAGTCCCCCCACCCCCAAGGCCTACCCCATGGTCTGTCCTGGCCAGGGGAGCAAGGCAGGTCCTCTGCTGTCCAGCAGTCCCCAAGCCCACTGTCATTGGAGGAGCAGGCCCACCCTCCCCCCAACCCAGATTTACCGGCCACTCCTTTCCTCCCCGCCGAGTGGCCGGGCCTCCTGTGGGGGGCTGTGGCGGGCCCAGGGACAGGGCCAGGCCGGCAGCACCCGCCGTGGCAGTAACCGACCCATCTCTGTTTTTGTTTTTGCACAAATCTCCCCTCTCTTCGTGTTGTTGCCTTTCTCTCTCCTGTGTCCTCGTCCTTCCTTCCCTTTCTCGCCTCCTCCCCTTGGCCTCTCTCTCCCTTCTTGCTCCTTTCTGTTTCTTCTCCCATCGGGCACGTCTTCTCGCCCCCTCTCCTCCTCTCTCCCGCTCTTCTCTCCTTGCTTTTCCCTTTTTGTCCCCCATTTCTTCCCATCTCTGTGTCTGTCTGTCTTCCCCCCTTTCCCTGTCTCACTCTGTGTCCCCCCCTCCCGCCGTCTCTCTCTCTCTGACTCTCTCTGTGTCTGTCTGTCTCTCTGCCCCTGCCTTCTGCTGCTTGCCAGTCATTGCTTATTCCTGGGAAAAGTGCGAGTAGATTCGGACGCCGGGGCAGTGCCATAGGCATAGGAACCGTGGAAGAGGTTGTCGTCCGCGGGGCCACCAGCTCTGGAGGCTGCCTGCACGCGCTGTTCTCTGCTCGCTGTCAGGACGGAGGCCATATTGGGGACGTTGCCCCTGCTTCCCCCGGGACAGGCCCAAGGGTGTGCAGGAGGGCGTGCTGGCAGCTCCGATGGCGCTCAGCACCTGCCTGGGGGCTTGGTATCGTGCCAGAGCCAGTGCTCCCCACCAGGGGCTTCTGGCCCTGCCCTGGCCCCTGCGACCCTGACCCAGTCCCTGCCAGGATCTGGTACCCAAAGACCCTATGCCCAGCCGCACGTCCCCCAGTATTGCCAATTCTGCATGGAGCACCATCCCTCTCCCTGCCCTGACTCCCTTTCCCCACATGAGCTGGCCTGGGGCTCCTGCCCCTCCGTGCCTCCCTGGGGCCCACCTTCCTGCCCCCCCAGAGGAGGTGGGGGCATGCTTCAGGTGCCTGGGGCATCCCACCCCACTGCGTGCAGAACCTGGGAGGACCTTTCCGCTTCTGGGCCAGCACCTCCCCAGCCTGGTTGGAGATTCCAAGGTGGGGCAGGGCTGGCATGGGGCAGGGGCTCCGGTCGCTGTGCCCCCTCTCTCCCCACTGCCCTTAGGCTGCAGGTCCTGTGAAACCCTGAGGGACAGAGAGGAGGCAGCCATTCTGAGGACTTGGCCTCCTCCCATCCCAGCCCAGAGTGGCTGCCCAGGCCCCTGCAGACCCTGCCCTTCGCCTAGACTAAGATCCCAGGCCCAGCCCTGCTGTGTGATCTTGGCGGGCCCCTGCCCTCGCTGGGCCTGTCTCCCTCTCTGTAAACCAGGAGGCTGTCTCTGGAGACGGACATTTTCTCTCATTCTTTTTCGCTCGTTGCCTCTGCTTCAGGGCCTGGGGCAGCAGGGCCCTAGGGTGGCTTGTGGGGGACAGCGAGGCTCCCAGGGCAGGTGGGCACTGAGTTGGGGCCTCTCCCCGCAGTCGCTGATTGTCCCCGGGAAGAGCCCCACGAGGAAGAAGTCGGGCCCGTTTGGCTCCCGCCGCAGTAGCGCCATCGGCATCGAGAACATACAAGAGGTGCAGGAGAAAAGGTGGGTAGAGCAGGGCCGGCGGGCAGGGCCCTGTGTCTCCCCGGGTCCCTCCCCGGACCCCCATTCGGTGGCGAAGCAAAGCAGGCAGCAGGGAGTGCCCACCCTTCTGCCCCTCCATCCCCCGCCGGTGACAGCTGTATGGTCAAGTCCCTGCTGTGTGCCAGGCACCAGGGCCAGGTCATCACCTAACCGTGAGTCGCTTTCATCCACTCAGCTGTTCTGCTGGCTCCCTGGGGGCACACCTTGCGCATCAAGATGCTCTAGGTCAGAGGGCTCAGGGGCTTGCCCAGGTCCCACAGCCAGTGAGAGGCAGAGCTGGGATTTGCGGCCTGCTCTCTGGGGGTCTATGAGTGCATCTGTGCGGGCGGGATGCAGGCAGATGCTATATTAGCAGCAGGGCAGCCCCTGGGAAGCAGAGAATAGTCCCTGGGCATGAATCCTGTCTCTACCACACTGGGGCTGTGTGACCTTGGGAAAGTCACCATACCTCTCTGAGCCTCACTGTCACAATCTGAAAAATCAGGATGAGAACACAACCAATGGCGTGGGGTTGCTGTGGGGGTGCAGTGCAATGTATGTGAAGCAGGATGGCGGGCGCCCTGGGAAGGCCTTGGGAATGGAGCTGGCACCATCCTCACGGCCATGAGAGCCCAGAATCCCATGAATCCTGGGCTCAAGTCTTGGCTTTGCCATGTCCTAGCTGTGCGTCCCTGGGCAGGTTCCCTGGCATCTCTGGACTCCAGTTTCCTTGTCTGTAACGGGACAGTTGTGCCCCCTCCTGCGGAGAGGAGGACCTGGGAGGGGTCCTGTCTTGTGGAGGGGCTCCAGCACTGCCTGCCCCCTCCTTGGTCGGGCTGGCCGGGGAGCCACAGGGCCTGCTCTGGGGTTGGCCCCTGAGGATACAAGGTTATGGGGACGAGGCGGGAGGTGCCCATGACCTCCTCTCACCACCTGGGCCTCCTTCTACCCTTGATGCCAGGCCCAGTGCTGAGTCCCCCCGCTGCCCCCGTGTGCCCCGCAGGGAGAGCCCCCCAGCTGGCCAGAAGACCCCAGACAGTGGGCACGTCTCACAGGAGCCCAAGTCGGAGAACTCATCCACTCAGAGCTCCCCAGAGATGCCCACGACCAAGAACAGGTTGGGGCTTGGGGGCACATGAGCTGGGAGGCTTGGGTGGGGGGGCTTATCTTTTCCATTTCCTGCCTGGGCCTGGGGCTGCCCGGGGGCACTGACTCTGCCACACCAGGGTGGCGGGGAGGCCTGGGCACTCTCCCAAGTCCTCCTCTGACACACACCCACTGAGTGCCTTACGCACACCAGGGCCCTCGCTGAGCTCTGGAATATAGCAGTGAACTGGGCCGCTGCTTCACGGAGCAGACGGTCCAGTGTAGCATAAGCTGTTTCCAGATAGTGATGATGGGAGGAAAATAAAGCAGGGGAGGCGATGAAGAATGACTGGTGGAGGGGGAGTTAGATGGGTGCTCAGGAAAGACCTCTACAAAGGGGTGAAGTTTGAATTGAGGGCTGAGTAAGGAGTCAGCCCGGCTAGAACTGGCATGGTAGAGGGAAGAGCGTTCCAGGTAAGAAGAACAGCAAGTGCAAAGGCCCTGAGGCATGCTTGAAGGCATGTAAGAAGGGTGGTGTGGTTGGAGCCGAGTGAGTGAGGGGCTGGGCCTGGGCAGCCCAGACACTGTGCTGGTGGTAGAGGGAATGAGGTTGGAGAGGTGGGCGGGGGGGTGGCTCACGGCTTTGGACACCGTGTGAGAACTTTGAATTTTATCCTGAGTGCCACAAGGAGCCTTTGGAAGATTTTAGTTACGGGGAGTGATGCTTTAAAAAGCTGATGGCGCTCAGCATGGGGAGGGGCTGGGGGCGGGGCCGGAGTGGAGGCAGGGAGGCCGGCAAGGAGGCTGCCCCTCCATTCAGTGCTCATTGGCTGAGTCCTCTCTCTGCTGGCTCTGGGGGCGTCAGGCAGGCAAACGGAGAGGCAGGAAAGGGCAGCAGGGGCAGGGAGAGACAAGGAATGCAGGACCCAGAATGGGAGGCTCAGTCCCACCCGGGAGGAGGAATCAGGGAGGGCCTTCTTGAGTAGAGGGCCCTTGGCTGATTTTTGAAAGATGAATTTGCATTTTGTGATTTGAGAGGAGTAAGACTCCAGACGGGAGACACACAGGCCCGGAGCATGAACAAAATTGTGGGTTATGAGTGTAGACTGCAGAGTTGGAAGACTGGGGTCCAAACCCCTATCCTCCTACCTACTGCTGGGTGACCTTGGGCTGCGTGCCCACCCTCTCTGTGCCTCCATGTCTTCTCATCTGCAAAATGGGCCTAATAATGATAGCAGCGAGGTAACTCAGGAAAAGGCACTCAGCGCAGAGCCTGGCACACATGCCTTGTGTGGTAGTGTTGTTGTTAATAGACGTTGTTACTGAACACCAAGCCAAGGAAATGGACCTTTATCTGCGGCAATGCGGAGCCACAAAAGGGTTTTGAGCAGGTTGGGGGGTTGTGATCAGATCCACATATTAGGAAGGACAGTGCCAGGGAGGCCCTGGGAGGCCCAGGGAGCTGTGACGGGGTCCACAGAGGCGTCGGCTGGCTGCGGCTGGGCCTCCCTGGGCGGGGAGCACAGGGGACTGGGGGCGTGGCGCAGGAGGTGCCCAGCGCAGATGCTGGCTGATGGACACTGTCTATGGCAGAGTGGAGACAGCAGCCCAGAGAGCAGAGGTGCTGAAGGACTTCTCCCGCTCCTCGTCCAGTGCCAGCAGCTTCGCCAGCGTGGTGGAGGAGACGGAGGGTGTGGACGGGGACGACACAGGCCTGGTGAGAGGCCCAGGGGGTGGGGTGCTCCACAACAGCCTGGAGGGGGTGCTCTTTGGTCCTCTGGGTGGAAGCATGAGCCTGGGTATGGCTGAGATGTGATGGGGGGACCCAGGCCGACAGAGTAATGCAGACTAACCCTCCCTGCTCTGAAGCCTTCCATGGCTCCCCAGTGCCCCTCAGAGAGAGCCCAATCTCAGAGACCATTGAAGATCTCCCTCCCTCCCTCCCTTTCTTCCCAGCCTCATCTCTTACCACTTCAGCCATCCTGCGCTTCTTTGCAGTCCCCGAGACCTACCAGGCGTACTCCTTTGTGCGTGCTGTTTCCTCTGTCTGGAACACTCTACCTGCCTCCTCCTTCCCCCTTTGTCTGACTGACTCCTACTCATCCTTCTAGGCTCAGCCTCACATCACCTCCTCTTGAAAGCCTTCCCTGATTTTCTAGTCCCAGGGTAGGTTAGGAACGCCCCTTTACACTCTCACAGACCCCTGGGCTTTGCCCGTGGCACCCTTTTGTCGTTCTTCATTCAACAAGCCTTTGGTGGGCACCTGTTCCTTGCCAGGCCGTGTTCCAGGAACTGCAGGTGCAGCAGGGAAGAGCACCGACCACGACCCTGCCCGATGGGGCTCAGAGTCTAGAATTATTGTAGTCTCTTCACAGCCCGCCTCACCTCCTAGCCTCCGAGCTCTCTGAGGGTCAGGACCGTGCCCGATTTGTCTTGGCGGCTCAGCCCAGGAGAATATCAGTGGACATTTGTTGAATGAATAAATGGGAGCAGGTGGTGTGTGCCTGGGTCTGCATCTGTGGCCTCCCCGGGGCAGACACTCCAGGGCCCCCATCCTCTTTGCAGGGGGCCAAGGGTGGGGGGTTGTGAATTGTGGAGGGTGGGGCAGAGGGGCGGGGAGCCGAGCCAGTGCCTGGACGAGGGGCGACCTCCCTCTCTCCTGGCCCTTCCATCCCCAGGAGAGCGTCTCGTCCTCAGGGACGCCTCACAAGCGGGACTCCTTCATCTACAGCACGTGGCTGGAGGACAGCGTGAGCACCGCCAGCGGGGGCAGCTCCCCAGGTACCGGCCCAGGGCTGCTTTCCCCGCCGGCAGGGCCCCCTGTGGTGGGAGGGGACAGGGCTGGGCACAGAGGCTCGAGAGCTGGTGGGCACGTGATGGGACTGCCCCTGAGACAGGGGACAGTGGGTGGGTCATCATCCAGCCTAAGGCGGTTGGGTGGCTTGGAGGGCTGGTGGCTTCTGGAAGGGTCTTGGAGGATGATCAGGGGGTAAAGAAGGGAGTTAAGGGTGGGATTCCCTGAGGGGTGGACTTAGCGGGGTTGGGGAGCACTGGTGCCGACCGCCCATCCATGCCCCCGTCTCCCTGGTGCCTCCCCGTGGCCAGTGAGGTGGCTCCCTCCTGCCCCCCTCCCCAGGCCCCTCGAGGTCACCCCACCCAGACGCCGGCAAGTCGGGGGACCCTGCGTGTCCCGAGATAAAGATCCAGCTGGAAGCGTCTGACCAGCACACGCCCCAGCTGGTACGTGTAGCCACTGGGGCGTTGGGGGTGTGTTGGGGGGCGCTGGCCAGGGCAGGGATGGACAGCTGGAGGCTGGCCCTGCCGGAAGCCACCCCCCCACCCCAGGGAGGGGGATTAGCTGTAGGGGAGAGGCATGAAGGGAACCAGGGGTGGGGGCTGGGCCAAGAGATCCCCCTAGGCCTGGTGGGTTTGGCTTGTCCAGCCTGGGCACAGCAAGTGACTTCTGCTTGCCTGTGTCTCCTGTCCCATGTCGTCATCTGTCCTGTCACCTACCTTGCTGCCATTCTCTTTCTGCGCAGGGCTGTTAGCCAGGCTCCCCCTCTGAAGGTGAAGGTGAGCAGGTCAGACCCCGCCCTCAGCTCTTGTTATGGGGGGCGGGAGTGGGCAGGGGGTGGGCCAACCCCTCCCTGTTCCTCTGTCACCTCTCTGGGGTGAGAGCCATGTATCTAGGTTTGAATCCTCTGCCATTGAGGTGCGAGGTGACTTGGCCTCAGTGTTCTTATCTGTACAATGGGCCTGATAAAGGCTGCCTCCGGGGAGGGTCATGACCTCCTCTCCGTTATAGCAGTTATCCTTTGCCCATGAATGGCTGGGAGGATTTGATGGGACCCTGAAAGGGACTTGGGAATTGTTGGGAGGGAAGAGTCTGGGAGGTTCCGGGTGGGTGGCAAGACCCAGAACCTGGACCTCCATGGGTGGGCCCTCCCACTTCTGTCTCTCTACTCCATCGTGTCTCCCTCTCCCTTTACCCTGCAGATGAGGCCACAGAAGCACAAGGCGAAGATGCTATGTCCAGTCCAGGCAAATAGGACCTCTGCCTGCAAGGCCAGCAGCAGCCTGCGGGCTGCCCCTGCCTCCCCAGCCCTCCTCTTGGCCGCCGTCTGGGCTGTCTCTGCGGGGCGGAGCCATCCAGACCCGGGAGAGGGGAAGCTGCTGGCATCATCCCCACCCCCCGGCTGGGGGGCCCGGCTGGGGCAGGGAGTGGCCAGTTGAAGCAGGACTCCAGGCCTGGCTCGCCCCCACCCTGGGCCCTCCTTCACCCCTGGGTGCCCCTCTGGACCCAGGGGGAGTGAGATGGGGGGAGATTGCGATATCTCAGTGCACACAGAGCCTGCTGTGGAGACATGGGGTGTGAGGTGTGGTGGAATGAGCACTGGGCTGGGAGTCCCGGGTCCCGGCTTCTGATCTGGGTTCTGCTGTGACTCTGGTCGTGTCCCTCTCCCTCTCTGGACGCCTCTGCTAATGGACAAGATTGTTCTTCAGAGGTCACTGAAGACTGTGATCCCATGCCCCGGCCCCAGAATGGGGGATTGTCTTCCCAGGGGCTTCCTCACCCTACCATGCTTCTAGGGGCCCCTGGGGCCCCAGGTGGGCTGAGGGGCAGGGAGCTGGCTGTGCCCGTTGCCTCTCCTGGACCGTCAGGCTCCACCACAGATCTGCCTATGCCCTGTCCACTGCCTCCACGTGACAGATGAGTGACCCCCTCGGGGGAAGGGGGACCTACCTGGCTCCTCAGCCAGCACCCAGCTTAACCCCTGCCATCCCACGCTCCTGGGCGCTCCAGGCCGAGGGGTCTCAGCTGGCCTAGCGTTACAGGCCTCACCTCCACGCTGCCCCCCGTGGAGGGGGCAGCCGGGCCCAGCTGCTGTGAGTCCACATCCTTGTGTGTGTCTGTCCACACTTTTTAGGCACCACGCCAAAGGCCAGCCTTCCGGCCCTCAACACCTGTTTTGGAAGCCCCCGTGCCGTGTGTACGTCGGTAACAGTTGTACAAAATAAATTCTATTTATCGCTATTGTACCCCGTAGTTGGGCCTGGCTTTGTGTGACCCCTGCCCAGGTTGACCCCAGACAGTCTCAGTGATGCCGTGGTCGAGGGGGGAGGCCTGCCCCCCCTTCAGAGCTGCTGGGCCTGGGGGCACCTCCAAGGCCAAACCATGGTTCTGTGACCGTGAGCCGTGGCTTCCTCCCCAAGGCACTGCCCTGTCCTCCACCCGCTTCCCCTCTCCACCCAGGAAGCACTTGGCTTTGAAGTCACGCAGACCTCAATTTGAGCCCTGCCACCGTCTCTTACTAGCTGGGTGGCATTGAGAAACTCACAAGCTTCTCTGAGCCTCAGTTTCCACTTCTGTAAAATAGGAGCAGTAGTACCTCCCCCAAGGGTGTGTCATGAGGATCCATTGAGCTGGGGCCTGTCAAACACCAGGCACAGAGTCTGGCACCCAGTGGCTGCTCAGGGATCAGCTCCCTTCTTGTGCTCAGTGAAACCCAAGAATTTCCCCTATGTGGCCACTAGGGGGAGCCAAGGGATTGCTTCCTCCAACTGATGGCGGGGTGGGAATGGGTCTGTCCAGCTGCCGGGAGGAGCTCACAGTGCAGGGCAGTTACAATAAAGGGGGGCGAGTGACCAGGGATGTGGGCGAGCTGGGGGTCCAGCCTGAGTGAGGGAGGCATGGGGACGATCCTGGAGAGGTGGCACCTGAGCATCCTGGAAAGACTTAGGAAAGTGTCCCTGGGGAGGGAACTGCAGGTGCAAAGGTCCAGAGGGGAGAGAGTGTCTGCAGTTGGGAAGGTAGCAAACAGTTCTGAATGATGGGAAGGTGACGATGGAGGGGACAGGAAAATGGGCAGGGATGAGGTCAGAGGCCACATGACCTTGAATGCCAGACCAAGGGGCTAGGGCTTTGTGCTGAGGGCAGTGGGAGCCATGGAGGATCTGCAACGGGGAGGGCCGTGGAGAGAGAAGTGGGGGCTGCAGGGCAGTGTCGGCCCAGGGAGGGGAGGCTCAAGGAGGCTATTGTTGGGGACAGAGGGTGACCAGGAGGACGGTGAGCAGGCCTGGAAGGCGTTGTTGGATGTGGGGCTGAGGGAGGAGTCAGCGAGGCTCTCAGGGGTCCAGCCTGGGTATTGGGTGAATGAGGAGTCTCCTGGGAGGTAGGGGCACAGGAGGAAGAGGCCTGGCCTCCTGACAGCTTTACGGCCTCCCCTTCTCCCCCCAGCAGCCCCCACACCCTCCCCAGGACGAGGCTGAGTGCACCCCAGGGGCTGCCATGCTTTTCCTGACGGGGCCCTTCTGTGACCCTCAGATGTCTGGGGCCACCCAGGGGCTCTGACTCACACCCAGTCCCCAACCCGCCCCCTGGGTTTGGCTCTAGGCAGCCCAAACCCCTCCCCTGCTCAGCCTCACCCCTCTTCTCTAAGCCTCGAGCCCCCTCCGGGGTCCTGGCTCTTCAGTCCTCTCTGCCTCAGTCTCTGGCCTTGTCTCCTCCCATCCCAACGCCAAAGGACCAGCAGCCACAGTTCAGCACCAAGGGCAAGAGCTTAGCTCTGAGTCCTTCACCTCCTAGCTCTGTGACTTTGGCTGCTTGGTTTTGGCTCTCTGGGCCTCAGTTTCCTCTTCTGTCCGGTGGGAATGCTAACAGTCCTGACCTTGGTACCCTGATGTGAGAATTCGATGAGGTGATACCTCAATAAGGTTCTTAGTGCTGCCCTCGCACGTGGTAGGCTCAAAAAATTGCGTGTGTTGGGGGTGGGGGTGATCAGCCGTTAATGAGGACCGAATCCATAACCCCCATTGGAGGTCGTGGGGTCAGCTGTCCGGGTAGAGGATGGAGTAGCTGGTGCCGGGCCCAGCGCAGATGTCTGGACGTGAGGCTTCGGGCAGGAATGATTGTCACTTGCTTCTCTGAGCCTCAGCCTCCCGGGCTTTACTGGGGTTGGTGATCCTTTTACAGAAGACCTCGGGCTGGAGGCACCGCCACTTGTATCCCTTTACTTTACGATGAGCCATCACCCCACAGCTCTGACCACAGCTGAGCTGGAGCCCTGGGGACTGTTGAGGCAGAAGCCGAGGGGCAGCCTGGCGAGCAGAGCCTGACTCTGCCCCTCCACCTGCCCAAGCTGGGCCAGCCCTGTCTGTGGAAGGCAGGCCTCTGGGCTGGGTTTCAGCCCAGGCGCCCACCCCACCGCACCCCTCGGGGATCCAAGGTGGGGCTCGGGGAGGCTCAGGAGGAATCTGGCCTCTGGGATCAAAGTGTCCAGAGCTGTTTCTCTTGTGCCCGCGCCAGCTCTGTGCTCACCCTGGGTTCTGAGGTGGGGAGGGCGAGCCGGGACGCTGACCCGAGGCTGGAATTAGGGCTTGGGCGGGGGGCACTGGGCTCTGGGAATCGCTGGACTCTGCTTAGAAATAACTCTGGTGGTGGAACCGGCAGCCAGAGGTTTCTCCAGACGCAGAAGGCAAGAGGCCTCCCGTGGAGGGCCTTGAGTGCCCAGCTGACCCGCCATCCCCCATCTGCCCTGCCGCAGAGCTGAGACCTGTCTCTCCAAGTCTCAGTATCCTCACCTGTAAAATGGGGACAGGGCCTACCTTTTACTGTGAAGTAGCTTTCATGGCCTCTAAGGTACCTGACATAGAGCCCATGCCCGATAGGAGGACAGGAGGCAGGGGACAGGTCCTCCCCTGTCGCCCACGAGCTGGGGTGGTCCTGGACGTCCATGCCTAACCCTGGGGCAACTTTGCCGAAGAGACGGCCGCAGGCCCAGGCCTGCCCAGGGCCAGGGGCCCGGGACCTGGATGTTCTCTGCTGCTCAGGCCACAGGGGTGCTCAGACAGGGACCCTGGAATGTGGAGGTCCCTCCCTTCCTCTCTGCACCCGCCCTGCAGAAGGGACAGCCGGGGACGGAGCCTCCTGAAATAACCAGATCTGGTTAGCGAGGCTAATTTTAAAAGCCACTCTGGCTGCCCCATGGGCCCTTCTGGGAAGCCATGAATGTCCCTGTGTTTGCCCCTGGGAGGCAGGCGAGGGGAGCGCAGCTGGGGTTTGGGGTGGACTGTTACCCCTGAGTGTCAGTGCAGGAGACCCCGAGCTGCCTTCCTGGGGCTTGCCTGGCCAGGGCCCAGAGCCCTGGGCCCGATGTTGGGACTCAGGGGCCCAGCCTCAACCCCTAGCCACTCAGGGCAACCCCTGCTGGGCTCTCAGGACCCGCCAGCCCCTGCGCTGGTCTCCCTGAGGCAGTTCTGGGCAGGGGGCCTTAAGCTGTCTGTCCCACTGTCTCCATCTGCTCACTCTCCACGTCCCTTTATCTCTGTGTCTCTGCCTTTCTGTCTCTGATGCTCGAGGTCCTTCTCTGCAGCTGTGGCTCCGTCCCCCACTCTGGTCCGTCACGCAGGAGGCCAGACAGCATTCCTAATCGTCTGTAGGCTGGGCTGTGCACACCATGTGGGGGCAGGTGTCTACCTAGGACCTAGGGTTGCAGGCGGGGCCCGGTGGGGGAGGAAGCTGCCCTGGGGGCCGACAGGAGCTAAAACTGGGCAGGCAGGGGCCATGTCCAGGCGCGACCGTGGCCATCTGGCCAGGCCAGGTGCCAGCAGAAGGAATGCACTCCAGGGGCAGGGGTGCTAGATTTAGCAAGTAGAAACACAGAGCCCGGTTAAATCTGAATTTCAGAAAAACAAGGAATAATTTTTAGTTTAAGTATACCTCTTGCAATATTTGGGACATACTTATACTAAAAAATCATGCCTTGTTTATTTGAAATTCAAGTTTAACTGGACATCCTATGTTTTATCTGGCAAGTGTCTCGGGGAGGCCCAAGGAGCGCACGGAGCGGTGTCTCAGGAAGGCAGATTTTATAGACCATGGGAGCCCCAGCCTGGTGGGGATGTCACAGCCGGGCCCTGGGGAGATCCTGGGCTGATGGAGGACGCACAGCTCCTTCTCACAGAGAACTCGCAGTTTTCTGAGGGTGGGGAGAGTCCTTGGGAGCTTGGGGGTGGGGGGGCACATGACACAGAGCACCAGTCACTTCTCACTAGAACTATAGATGTCAGAAGGGGGGGGTCTGGTGTGTTCTTTGCTGAGCCCCAGTGCCTAACCCAGGGCCTGGCACATAGTAGGGGCTTCATAAATGTTTGTTGAATGGATAAAGAATCCTCCCAACCCCTTCCCACGGGGGTCCTGCGTGACCCCTTCCCACGGGCTAGCAGAGGGCTCCTACCTTCCAAGCTCTTTGGAGCCAACTGGAATGTGCACTGCCCCCACCCCAGGGGCTCCCGGAAGTGAGCTGCAGAAGGGGAGGGGAGGGGCAGAGGGGATGGAGAGAGGAGGCTAGCTTTTTCCCTGTCCCCTCCCCACCCCAGACCGCAATCCCAACTCAGAGTCCAGCCTGGACAAGGGAGGAGGTGGGGGGTGGGGACTAGGTCAGGGTGACCTCTGGCTTCTGGCACTGGGGGGCTGGTTGGGGCTAATGTGAGGGGCAGGCCAAAGAGGTGTTCTCTGTGCTCCTTAGGGGGGTATTTGGACAGCCATGGGGATTCCTGGGAGCCAGAAAGTTGGGGACCCTTGTTTCTGGGGAGGTGAGATTTGGGCCTTTTCCTGCAGGCCATTAATCTAAGGGGTCTCCCTGGAGGAGGCAACTAGGGAGAGGCCTGTGGCCCTCCCACACCTTCCTGAGGGCGGAGTCCCTGAAACAGCCTTTGTATGCATTCATTCATTCACTTGCTGACTCACACACTCACTGTCACCAGCCATTCTCAGAGATGACCCTGCTCTGGGCCCTGTGCTAAAGGACCTCGGCATCTCATCCGGTCCGGTCCCAACAGGAACACACCTGTTCCGGTGCCGGCACTGCTGCTGGCTCGCGACATGACCTTGGGCAAGTCACTGACCACTTAGAACCTCGGTTTCCTCATCCCTACGGTGGTGACGATGCTAGAGCTCCCTCTGGGGTTCCCTTGAAGATGTGAGATGATGCCTGCCCACAGGGAGCGCTTCAGAAGAGGCGCCATCGTGATCATTGCAT